GTCGATCGCTGTTACGTACATATGTACCTCAGCTACGATTTCATCGTGATCAGAAGCAAGCAGCCCCGTTTCTTCTGTGGTAACGACCATGCGACGCAGGGTAAGAATTCTATGCGAGAAGGGAGGAAACTGGCCGACTGGCGCTTTTTTCAGATAAGATCGAACGAATGCGGGAAGCGTCGAACGTAGGCGGGAGTCCCGTTGGCACTGGGTACAGGAAGGGGTTGGAAAGGGGAGAGAGGCAGCCAGACCAGGAAATCAAGCGTCGCGCCGATCGAAATCGTTGAATCGCGTGGCCGTTCCCGATGAATCAGCGTTACGCGCGCGCTTGTTAGCGAGGAGAAGCTTCCGCGAAGCAGTGATTAGGAAATTTTGATGCATCGAGATACGTGACGTTTGCTTGAGACGACAGTGACTAGAAGCATGGAATACGTGGATATTGCTGCCCAGGAGTGGTTATAAAAGAGATTTTTGTTTTTTTTTTTAATTTTTCATTGTACATTTGAGATAGATTGTAGATTTTGTTTTCTACAAGTAAATAATGAAACTTTAACTCTCGATCCTATTAACTCACGTCCTACAGTAGTCCGTTTGAGCAATTATTTACGAATGTTTTCAAATAATTTATATTAATTTAATTGATATATTAATATATTAATTATAATATAATATTATAATATAATTATTAGTATATAAATACATTAATTATAATATTGTAATATTATAATTATTAGTATATTAATATATTAAATATATTATAGTATATAAATATATTAATTATAATATTATAATTATTAGTATATAAATATATTAATTATAATATTATAATTATTAGTATATTAATATATTAATTTATATTAATAGTTTTTATATTAATAGTATTTATAGTTTATTAATTAATCTACTTACGTAGCACAATAAATACATCATACATAAGTGGCATATAATAACAATGAAAAAAAATTTTTGAAACTTAAAAACACGTCAACGTAATACAATTGTTGAGTAAGGCAATTGATAATTGACATCGAATGATTAGATATTATTTTCCTTCATTTGTATAACGAAAAAAGCAGTCTGGTTTATATATTTGTTTGCACTGTTATAAATTCTTATGATGCAAGTTATAATTTTTTTATTGTCTAGTTCAACTGATTTAAACTGAGCATTATTTACTTTAAATCAGATAGATATCCTTTAAAATAAACTCTTTTTTATTATCTAGTTCAACTGATTTAAACTGAGCATTATTTACTTTAAATCAGATAGATATCCCTTAAAATAAAATCATTTCTTTATATTTATAAACAATCTCGAGTGACGCTAAAATCTATCAAGATATGGAGACTATAATTAAGAAATATGGAAATATGGAGACACAACTAAAAAACTAAGATTTCAAATGTATACTATTTTATCTCGTAATATCCATCAAATTTCATCACAATTGGTTGCCGATTCTATTCGGAAGTGCAATCCTTAAATTTTCCATAGATTCATGAAAATCCGTACTTCAATAATCAGACATCATAACTGTTACAAGGCAAATTTTAAGTTATAATCTAAAAAATTAATACGTTTAGTTAAAAATCGTATATGATTAAAATTTTTTTATTATCAGTAATAATTCCGTGATGGGAGTTTTATTTTATTTCTCGCCATTGATAACTACAATAAAATTTCCGTTATCGATAATGATTATTGAGAATGAAAAAACAATTTCGCTTACTTATTGGTTACTGGCAATCAACATAAAATTTCCGGAATTGATAGCAACGAATCGCGAAAAAAGATTTTGGTCATAATTGTTATTTATAATATTAATAATTAAATTAATAAATATTAATATTATAAATAAATTAATAAATATTAATAATTAAATTAATAAATATTATAATAAATAAATTAATAAATATTATTCATAAATAAATTAATAAATATTATTCAGTTATAATTGTTATTTGTAACAGAAATAATTAAAATTAATAAAAATTAACATTTCATATTTTTTACATTTTTTGAGATTCACTAACTCTCATTTAAATAAAATAACTCTTATTTAAATAAAAATCTTTACTTAATGACGTTTATTCAAAAAATGTTGAAAACAAATGTTATTTTTGTACTCACAAAAGTATTCTTTTTTTAACATTATTGCAACTCGCAGCGTATGTATTTTTCGGGATTTCTGAATCCGAGAAAGCACGTAGTAGAGTGATTCGCGCGCGATTCACACAAGTCTCCAGCGGGAGAACACGTGGAACGGTGCATTTGCATTTCAAAGCGACTTGTTTCATTCTCCGATTCCTTCTCGCTACTCGATCAGGCCGACACACGGTGCGCGCAAATAATTTACACTTGGCAGAATCATTAACTAACAATTGAAAAAATAATCTCTCTCTCTCTCTCTCTCTCTCTCTTTCGTCTGATATCACAGAACATTCATTGCTAAGTTGAGAAAGCAATAACGTGACTTGTGGGTGTTGGCTTCAAATTAAATGGCTGTCGAAGATTGATCATGTCAGACAGCCAACAAAGAGAATCTTCGAGAAGCTGCAGCTTGTATAAAAGTTACAGCAATAAAGGCAATAAATTAGTAACTGTTCGCAAATGAAAATGTAGATCCCAGATTAGATTTTTTTGAATGTAATTGAATAGACTATGGATAGATTTTTATGCATTTGTAAGAAAGTGGAAATCTACTTTCTTAAAAAGATAACAATGTGATCTTAAATGAAAAAATTCTATTCTTTGTTTTTGACAATGTTGTTTTTACATCTAGAATTATCTTCTGTTGATTAATCACTCCTGTCCAGGTTGCAATTAGCTAAATTCAAATATTCTCTGTCGAAAGCGAAGTTTTAAATGTTCTTTGTTATTATTTCTTTACTTGTTTTATATAAAATATTTAAAATAGAATATTTATCGTATCATGGCGAGTAAAGCCATTTTTATACTTATAAAAATTTAAAAATGCATACAACTCCAATTTGTATGCCGTAAAATTATTTTAAAAGTAATTTTAAAAATTTTATATTTTTTTTATGAAGAACTTAAATACATACGTCTCATTTTGTAATAATTTCCACTCATCTGTCTTTTCATTTGCCTTCGTAATAAATTTTTCAAATTGTAAAGAGACTTTATGGACACCCTGTATTTTAGTGAACTACGATCAAGTTACAGGGAGCTCGCTTGCAACAGCGAACATCAAAGAATCTGTTCGCAAATTCGAAGCAAACCTATTACCTCGCAAACTGAGTGTACATTGGGGAAAACTGTTCGCTAGCAGCTCACGAACTGTTCGCCAATGTTTGTGTGAACGCGGCAGCTCGTAAACTACTTGCAAACTGTTCATGAGCTTCTCGTGAGCGCAGTTCTGCCAAGTGTGGACCCAAGGTAACACAGCAGAAGCTCGCGTGTCGATTACGCGCGTTTACCCCTTTCAAATGTCCGAGATAGTCAAGAATCCGTGAACCTGTTCACCGATGCTCGTTTGTTGTTGTCACTTGCAATGCTGTATCTCTTCATGGTAACCTGTTTGCTGGTGTGCAACTGGTTCCGTGCTGTGAGCTCTCTCAAAACCTGTCGATGCATACACGTATCTTGAGGAAATTACAAGATAAATCGACTGTTCGTCGTTTCTTCAATGACGGGAAACTTCTTTTAGCGTCATTTAATGGCATGTTTCCCTTCTTCCGAGTGAAATTTTACGTTGGCCAATGTCATAGGTAATTGGAAAAAATACGGTTCCTTGAAGAACATATAGAAAGATACAATGTTCATGAAAGTATTTGAATACCTACAGGATTGATTATAAATATTATCAGAAATGTTTCAAAGTATGCATTATTATTAACAACGAGACAATTTGATAGATTAGATACTTAGTTTTACAAGATATTATAATTCAGATTGATTTGTGTATAAAAAAATCATTGTATTATTAAACATTAAAAACATTTTATGAAAACGAAAAATCAATTGTAAGCTTCTAGTCAAATAGAAGTTTCTAGTCAAATGTAAGAAGTAAGGAAATTAAAAGTTTGAGAAAGTTTATATACGCCCCATGCTCTTTTGTGATAAGAATTAAAAAAAAAAAAAAATAGAATTAAATCAGACAAAAATGAATTGATGGTATTGGAATTTTATTTGTGTTTTTAATAAACAAGATATAGTATTGATTGAATAACATTAGTACGCTATATTATTTTTTATCAATATTTGAGAATGTATTTAGAAAAATATATACTTGTAAGGATAGCTTATATTAATTCATTGTAAGTGTATAGAAAACAATTTAAAAAAAAAAGTAAAGTAATAGATAAGTATAAAAAGAAAAGTAAAATAAGAGACATTTAATAGATGTATGTATCTACGTGTATTTCATTTTATTAACTATACTTATAATATTACTGAATTCGATTGAAGTCTTCAAGACATATTTTCTTCATATTTGTAGGAATTAAAAATGTAAAATTCAATAGTGAAGATAATATTGAATTTTAGATTAATATGAAAGAAGGAGTATTTAAAGTATATTCGCATACAAATATTTTACAAATAATAAATTATACAAAGCTATAAGTCACAATTTGAAGTTACAATTCAGCATAATTCAAATTAATGAAACATACTATATAAATAAAATTTGCTATGTAACTTAGCACATAAGTAAATTTAAAACGTAATTCTTGAGCAGATATCCAATAAACTTTCAATTTCAGCAATAAGTAAAAAAACTTTTGTTTCAAATTTACCTTTTTTTTTCCAAAGAATTCTATATTATATTATATACTATATTGTATTATATATTATATACTATATTATATATTATAATGTATTGTATTATATTATTTATCGTTTTGTACATTGTATTTTATTATTTACTTTATATTTTAAGTTATTGTTTATTAAATGTTATTGCATTATATCCATCAGTTCAAGATTTCATATTTCATTTCTATCTAACGTGTTTTGTTATTTAATATATTTTATAGGTCAATCCGCACTGTATGGAATGAATAAAAGTCTAAAAAATAGCGGCCTTTTCCCATCGACTTTCAATGTCGCTGCAAAGGCTGACATCTTTGTCAACGCAACTTGCGGTGAAGACGGACCAGAAACCTTCTGCAAACCTTCTGAATCATCGAGATGCGGTGTTTGCGATGCTAGGAGCCCGGATCCCGGCAAAAGGCATAATATTAGCAACATACTGGACTCGAGCCCTGGAAAGTGGTGGCAGAGTCCAACTCTTGCCAAAGGAGATCACTACGAGTACGTGACCATAGTTTTGGATCTTAAACAGGTAAGATGCTTCTGCATAATATTAATAGTGTTTTTTATTATTATTTATTTTGTATGTTGTGGCTTTATCAAGTATTTTTATGACTTCTCTACTTTTATGAACATTGATGAACATTTGAATTTATAATTTAAATATATTTTATTAAATATATTTAATAAAAATTTGAACAATAACTTCCTGTTTTAGTATTTGGTATATTTAAAAAAATTTGTTATCATCTTTCCCTTATCCTGAGAATGTTTAACAAATAGTTTGTTATATTTTCCTTAAGTTAATAATACTTAAAAAATTTAATTGGTTAGTTAATAATATTTAATTTAATAATACTTAATATAATACTTAATATAATTTAATTGGCCAAGTTAATAATACTTAAAAAATTTAATTTGTGAAATTGTATTAAATCTAATTACATTACAATCTTATTTTTTAACTGAAGTTTTTTGGTCATACCGACTATAAAATTACGACACTATAGATTAAATGAATATAATATTCATTTTATAACTTATCGAACAACTCAGTTTCCTTGACGAACATAGTAAATCTTATTCATAGTAATTCTTATTTATTCTGAAAATTTATAATTAAACACTGATAATTGTTATCGTGAATCTATTAATAATAAATATATAGTGTACAGTGACAATATTTCAATGTTTTGAATATAACTGTGAAAGAATTTTGCAAGTTATTGTAATAGATCATTTTTAACAAAAATCTATATTTAAACATGTTATTTAAAGAATGTCCATAAAGGATGTTCCCGACTCGTAAAAACTCACTATAATCCTTTAACGAATCTAGCTGAATTAACTATAGAATTAACTTATGAAAAACCGTAAGAATTCAAAATTTTGTTCGACTATTTTTACTCCATCACATAATTTATTACTTTACTCTATCTTTAGATTCACTTCAAATTATTTATAATAATTTAATTTGCTCTATCACATAATTTAATACAATTAAACATCCTCAAATCGAGTAATTCAAATTACAATAATCATTCATCATAACTTACAACAATAGCAGCAGAAGTAGGAGATTTAAAAGAAAGAACCTTTCCCTCAATCTCATTATTACCACCAACGCACGAACCTGAATCCCTAGCACCGTTGCCCGTTCCAAAGGTTAAAGAAAGAAAAGACAATGCAGCGGGACACAGCAGACACACACCGCGTGATCCCGTGAGAAAAGTACGTTTCATTATTCAAAGAAGCCGGTATTCCAAGCCGATTTATCCTCCTCTCGTGTCCCCCTGTTCAGCTCTCTTCTCAGCAAAACTCGAGTGGCCTTACATTACGTCGCCATTAAAGGGCCGTGTAGCGCACGGCCAACAGAGAAGAAGGCTCCCCCCTTGTCCCTTCCCGAAAAATCGTAAAGTCGCCTTTTCCCGCTCGTTAGGCTCGTTTCTCGCATTGTGGCCCGATTCGTTTGCCTTACGAATTTATGTCCCCTGCGGTCCACGGTGGCGGCGGCGGCGAAAAAGAAGATAGGGGTTTAGAAAAGAACGGAAACGCCGGGAAAAAGAGAGGATCGAGGCGATGCCGATTACGCGAGACCGAGCAGAAACGGAGATAGATAGATAGATAGGGCGATGGGTTAGAGAGGGAGGATGGGCCTACTTTCTGGCCTGTTTCTTGGAACTTGGCATACAGCGAGCAACTGGTATATACACATACCTGCGGGGAAGCGAGACTCGGAGCAAATTGCGGGCGGCGCTGGCGAAAAACGCTTTTAACGAGCAACGCCGGCCCTTCTACTCGGATTCTCTCGGTAATAAGGACGCGGGGCAATCGAGAAAGCGCGAGGGACGATGGTTCTGCAAACAAGTTTTCCGTTAATTATATGGTCCTAGCTTTTGATAAACTCGAGGACCTGTGCCTTTTAATGGAAATTAAAATGGAATCTAGATGGAAAATTATTTTATCTTTAAAAATAATAATATATTTTATATTTGTTATATTATATATATTATATTATTTTATATTTTATATTTAAAAATAATATAATATAATGTAAGATATATTATATATTGTGTGTGTTTTTTTTTTCATGTTTTTCAGTAGAACTCTACTTATTTGAACCAAATTTTAGTCAATATCTCATTGAATGATGTTGACTAAACTAATTGCTAATTAAAACCATTTATTTAAACCTGTATTAATAATTATAAGGGATTAAATAATATTATTAATAATTATAAGGGATTAACTAATATTAATATATATATATATAAAAGGGACTAAAATTAAGGTTCTTTTCGTTTAAGAAAAAAAATCTTAAAAAAGTTGGAATTTGTATATTTTGTATAAAGAAATATCCGTTTTTGTGGAATTTTTATAGAAAAAAGTGAATACTTTTGAATAGTATTCTCACAAAACAAATATTTAAAATCTGTATAATAGAAATTCCATGGGGAAAAAGATATTTTAGAACTATTTTTATATTCGAGTAATATCCATTGAATAGTAATTCAGTGTCAGTTTTCAAATACAAGAGAATACAGTGTTAGTGTCAAACAAGAATGTTTTTAATATTTATGATCAAATTATTTGTTCCTTCGACGGAAAAATTTTTATTTTTATATTTTATAAGTTCCATTCTATTTTTATAAAAAAATCCATCAAACTTGCTTTTGGTATCAGGAAAAGTATATAAGATATTAACAATTTTTTGATATATTTTTTTCTGACAACAATTTTTTGATTAACACATATAAAGATCAACTTGAAAAATTTTTTTAAATAGAATCACATAATTTTTAAAAAATGTCCAATGTTAGAAAACCATTAGATTAGTAGATATTATTTTTATTTTAATTGAATTATAATAAAATCTATAACACATGATTTATCTTTATCTTGTTTTATCTTGTCTTTCATAAGATGGATTTTAAAAAATTTAAATTTAATCATTTCAGATTATGGATTATTAATTAAATACTAATTATTTATTAACTGACACCTACATATATTCTAAGATCTTTGAATTTTTGAATCATACATTTTTTAAAAGATAGCAGCAGGATAGAAATATTATCAAACATCCTTACATTAATTCATGGATACGAAACAGTTGGTGATTTAACACCTACACATCATTGTATATTCGTTCACTTCGTCTGGCCATTGTCACGGAAGTGAATACATCCTGGTGATGTTAACTCGGCATACTAGAAGTCGATGCCAACTTGTAAGCCATGCTAACGACCTCAAGAATATCTTTCGTAGCATTAAGATTGTAAATACTATAAGTTGTGTCTCTTGGAATAAGACGATTCTGCGAAATCCTAAAAACTGACAGCTCATTGGTGGTTTTGATAAATTTCAAACGAATTCTCGAAACAAAAACTTCAGCTGAACGCAAAAGTGATTGATTATATTTGTTTATATTTATATATCTATTTTAATATTTGTAATTACTGCTATACGAATTATTAATTTTGTAATTTTTTGTAATATTTATAATATTCTTATCGTCGTTATTTTTGAGGATATAATTAACAAAAGGGAACCTAGATGAAAAATTGTTTTATCTAATGGAAAACACTATTTTGTATATTCCATACATAATGTTGTGTGTTATGTACGATTCTACATAGTTTTGTATTTTAAAATTTCGTATAATGTCATTTAATTAACTATAGTTAGTTACAAAGTGTAACTGACGTACAACGTATATGTGTGCATACACAAAATAAAGATATATACAGTCAGTCAGTTACACACGTTTTATATTCACTTATTTATGAATTAAAATTAGTCAGAAATGAAGATGTTTTTAACATTTCTAATATAAATAAAGTAGGACAGAAAAATAACCATTCAATTACATTACATTTAATTAGTAAATACATTCCATTAACTTAGTTGACAACAACAATTATAATTCGATACAGTTAACAAATAAATTTAATTCAATATATTAAAATGTATAAAATGCATTCTTATTATTATTATAATAACAATAATTTTTATTCACTTTACTGTACATATTTATTTTGGTATTTAGATTTTTGTGAGTAATTGTATTAGTTAATACATAAAATTAATTAATTCAATATATTAAAATTAGTTAACACATAAAATTAATCCAATATATTAAAATGCATAAAATGCATTCTTATTATTATTATAATCACAATAATTTTTGTTCATCTTACTGTACACAGTTGCCATTGCATTTAGATTTTTGTGAGTAATTATATTAGTTAATAAATAAAATTAATTCAATATATTAAAATTAGTTAACAAATAAAATTAATGCAATATATTAAAATGTATAAAATGCATTCTTATTATTATAATAACTATTATTATTATAATAACAATAATTTTTATTCACTTTACTGTACATATTTATTTTTGTATTTAGATTTTTGTAAGTAATTATATTAATTAATACATAAAATTAATTCAATATATTAAAATTAGTTAACACATAAAATTAATTCAGTATATTAAAATGTATAAAATGCGTTCTTATTAGAATCACAATAATTGTATCAGTATTTATAATCACAATAATCTTTATTCAATTTACCATACATATTTATTTTTGTAAGTAATTGTATTAGTTAATGTAAATTAACTAATATGTTCTTTTAAACAAATAATGTTCAACATCCTTCTTTTCCTATTTCAAATATTCGAAAGTTGACAGATGTGGACTCCTGTACTTAACTGACTGTGTATATTGCGTAATTTGTCGGTGTTGTCGGGATTGGAGTCAATGTTGCTCGTTAGAGGTGAAACTGTTCGCGACCGTCATAATCGCCACCGCCGTTTTAACGTGATATTAATCACAGTAATCAGTCAGGTCTCGGTCAACGTGTAATCATCCTGGATGCTCGGCCGTGTTAGCGAGCTCTTTAAAAATATGTCTACGACACCTCATCTCATTCTCCACGTCCTCTATCTTCGAAAATATCTCAAAATAGTTACATGTGGAAATTTGAATCATTGATTTTCGTTTATTTGTTCCTTGATTTATGT